CTTCGGGTCCTCGATCGTCGGGGAGATCTTGACGGCCTTGTCGCGCGCGAGGTCGGCAATGCTCTTCCTCGCCGTCTTGCCCGAGCGCGTCCTAGGCAGCCCCTTGACGGCGCCGCTGAGCCGAAACGCCGCCACGGGCCCAATCACGCGGCGCACCACATCCACAAGCTCCTTCGACACCTGCTCCTCCGTCAGCTCGCTTCCAGCCCTGGTGACGAAGAGGCCGAGCGGGACCTCACCCTTCATGTCGTCCGGGACGCCGACGACGGCCGCGTCCACTACGTCAGGGTGCTCCAACATGGCCTCCTCCAGCGCAAGCGTGCTCAGCCGGTGGCCGGCCACGTTAATCACGTCGTCGTCACGCGACATGACGGCCACATAGCCCTGGGCATCGCGCATGCCGGCGTCCATGGTGTCATAGTAGCCCGGATATTCCCTGAAGTATGTGTCTACGAAGCGATCGTCCGCATGGTAGAGGGTGCTCATGCAGCAGGGAGGAAGCGGCAGGCGGCACACGATGCGCCCTAACTCGCCAGGCCCCGCCTCGCGCCCCTCCTCCGTCAATACCGACAGGTTGTAGCCGACCATGGGCTTCCCCGAGGCGTTTCGTGGTGGGTTCAGTGACATGTTCATGCCCACGCTGTGAGCTGTGATGGGAAATCCCGTCTCCGTCTGCCACCAGTTGTCCAGTACGGGCGCCCCGAAGCTCTTCTCGGACCACACGCGCGTCTCGTGGTCCAGCGGCTCCCCAGCCACGAACAAGTACCGCAGCGATCCCGTGTCGTACTTCCTGCCCTCTTCCACCTCCGGGTCCTCGCGCTTGATGGCGCGCAGGGCCGTCGGAGCCGTGAACATCCCGCTCACGCCGTGGTCACGGATGACGCGGAAGAACTGACCAGCGTCCGGCGTGCCCACGGGCTTGCCCTCGTACACGATGGAGGTGTTGCCGTTAAGCAGCGGGGCGTAACAGATGTAGGAGTGGCCGACGATCCAGCCCAGGTCGGAGGCGGCCCACCACACCTTCCCCGGCGCCATGCCGTACACCGCGCCCATCGTCCAAGAAAGCACGGCTGCGTGGCCTCCCGAGGGCCGCACGATGCCCTTGGGCTGCCCTGTGGTGCCCGAGGTGTATAGGATATAGCACGGGTGGTTGGCATCGACGGGTACGCAGTCGTGGCGAGGCGACGAGGCCACGAGGTCCTGCCACGCCACGTCGCGTCCTGGACTAAGCGGGGCCTCCTCCAACCCGCTCCTCTGCAGCATGACCACGTGCCTGGGCTTATGCGTGGACAGCGTTATCGCCTCGTCCAGGATGGGCTTGTAGCGCACGAGGCGCGACGGCTCGACGCCGCACGAGGCCGTCACGACCACGCTCGGCTCCAGGTGACTGATGCGGGTCGCCAGCTCCCTTGCCGCGAATCCGCCGAACACCACCGAGTGGATGGCTCCGAGGCGCACGATCGCCAGCATCGCCACCACCGCCTCGGGCACCATGGGCATGTAAACCATCACGCGATCGCCCACGCCTACGCCCATGCGAGCCAGGCCACCTGCCACCCGTGACACCTCCTCCTCCAGCTGAAAGAAAGTCTTCTTGGTGAGCGATTTGGTGATGGGCGAATCGTGGATTAGGGCCACCTGATCGCCCCTTCCCGCAGACACATGGCGATCCACGGCGTTGTGGCAGGTGTTCAGCTTCCCGCCCACGAACCACTTGGTGAACGGCTCCTGGCTGTTGTCCAGGACGCGCGTGTAGGGCTCGTGCCACTCCACGCCCCGCCCCACCTCGTCCCAGAACTCCTCGGGCTCATCGATGGATCGGCGGTGCAGGTCGTCGTAGGTCCCCACGGCCACCTTGTCCGACACCGCTGTGTGGGAATTTCGCGCCTGACAGCTGCCGAGGCCACGCACATTCTGTCGACAAGTTCGTGCTCTCGCTCTGTAAAGCCACTTCTGTTTACTCACACATGTAAAAATACTACGAACACCGGTCTTGCACGCTAACATTTCGTGTCTGTCAAGTCAGCCTTGCTTCGCTGCCTCCCACTAAACTAGTGTCATTATGGACTCCTTTACAATCAACAAACTCGTACGCTGACAATCATTCGGGAGTAAAAGAAACTTAAGTTTCAAGCACTTCAGACGCACTTATTAAATTCTCTGGCCCTTTTCCTATAGAATAAAATAATTTGTGACTTCAACTTCGAACCGTTTCTTCGAAAAATATGAAATTAGTCGTTGCTAAGGCGTGCCTGGCAGCGGCGTACCTGGCCACTCCCCCCCCCTCCCTATACCCCAAGGTCGCTCGTTCACGTCAGCTGATTACACAAACAATAACATAGGAATAGACTGAACGTACTCACATGAACATGCCACGACTCGCCTTCTAGGAATGATATAAAACACCACGAAAATGATATGGATATAGACATATTCCGTGAATGCGATGCATCCTATGCCGGTCTGCTTATCTCCCGTTTTACTGTCCCTCTGTTCCTCC